ATGTCACTAAGTGCGAGACGCCCTCCTACCTTTAAGAGTTGATAACCTGACGCTTCCTCCAAGAATGGGTTTAGGTGCTTGAGTGACCCTTCCACTGGATTACCTCGCTGTAGGCCTTGTATATCCTGAGAAAAAAAATGATTTTGGATAATCCAAACAATGCAATGCAGTGCTTTTTGTAATTGCATAGGTTGAATGACCTCTACGTCAGCTTTCTCTTTATACTTGGTTAACTGATGGAATCGATGTAGTTGCGCTACTATTCGTAGTATTTTAGCATAGGAGCCATACCTTGATATAACTGTCAGCAAATAATTTTCTTTAGTTACCTGAGTAAACGCAAGTTTCCTTCTTTCCTTATTGACTACTTCCATATCTAAATTGCTATGTTCTGGTTGAGGCCAATGTTTTCTTTCACGTAATAAAAATTCTGGTCCAGTGAACCACGTAGACTCCGTTAGTTGGCGATTGGTACAACCACGAGAAACAATATCAGCTGGATTAATTTTTGTAGATATGTGCTGCCACTGACCAGCGCGAGTTATATCTTGGATTTCAGCCACACGGTTGCCTACAAAGGCAGATAGAGTCGAGGAATGTTGTTTCAACCAATGCAGAACTATTTGGGAATCCGTCCAAAAAAATGTTTCTCCTTCGAGGTGAGCGAGTGTCGGCTGAATTTTTTGTAATAACCTGGCAAGAAGTAACGCACCACATAACTCTAACTTAGGCAACGATTTCCTCTTTATCGGAGCTACGCGGGATTTTGCAGTAAATAGTTTGACTGTCACGTTACCTGACTTATCCTGAGAACGAAGATAAATGCAACATCCATATGCTCTTATTGAGGCATCACAAAATCCGTGGATGTCTACTTGTTGAGGGCCTATTGTTAGGCAAAATCGCGGTATCTTCATAGACGAAAGTGTATGGAGGTCTTGAACGAACGTTTCCCATGCAGAGTGAAGAGCTTGAGGTACTGACTCATCCCAATTCAAACGAAGCAGCCAGAGTTCTTGCATAATAATTTTTGAAACAAGTACAAGTGGAGCGAGTAACCCAAGAGGATCGAACAGTGATGAGGCCAGTGATAGAATAGAACGTTTTGTTACCGTACGACTAATCGGGACGTTGAACGAGAATAGAAACACATCATGAAGTTGATGCCATTTGATGCCCAATGCGCTAGTGATCGTATCCGAACCCAGATCCCAACTCTTCGTTGTAGTGTCGCTTACAAAATCCACATGATTAGAATGCCATTTATCCAATTCAAAACAACCTTCCTTCAGAATTGCAGTCAGTTGATGTTTAATTTCGACAAGTTCTTCACTGGAGTCGGCTCCGCCAATAAAATCATCCACAAAAAATGACGATTTAAGAAGTGGAGAGCCTAATGGGTATTTGTCTTTATATTTATCGGCCAAATATTGTAAACTTCTAGTTGATAAAAACGGCGCCGATGCTGTGCCATAAGTGACAGTATTGAGTTCGTAAGTACTAACAGGCTCCGCATCTGTGTCTCTCCAGAGGATATATTGAAACCTTCGATCTCCTTTATCCACCAAAATTTGTCGGAACATCTTTACGATATCGGCTGTCAGAGCATAACGGTAGAAACGAAACTGAAGAAGGAGCAGATATAGTTCCGGCTGAATGGTAGGGCCTACCAGCAAAATGTCATTTAGCGCACGACTAGATGAGGTTGGACATGATGCGTCAAAAACTACTCTCAACTTTGTTGACGTGCTGGAAGGCTTCAGAACACAATGGTGAGGGATATAGTAATGCGGTTCGTTCAATTTGGGATCTTCGACGCGCGTCATATGCCCTAACTCCAGATATTGTTTCATGAACTCCCAGTAATCGCGTTTTAATGCAGAATTGGATGATAAGCGTCGTTCTATACCTAGAAGTCGACGCAAGGCAATGCTGTGTGTCAGACCGAGGGTGGTTGGTGGTTCCTTAAATGGTAATCGAACTACAATTCTTCCGTCCATAGCTTGTCGAACTGTTTCTTGATAGGAGGTCTCGCACTTCGATTGCTCTGGTGACCACGATTTTTCAGCTGATTGTACTTCCTCTATCTTCCACATCATTTCTAGTTGTTTAGATACGGTATCATCTAGTGACATTAGGCAGTTTGCAACTGTGGGATTATCGAGAACACCTTGACATCTACCGGATACCACCCATCCAAACAATGTTTTTTGCAGGACTGGAAGATTCGCACCCAATTTAATTTGACTGATGGATAAAATGTCAAAGAAGCTTTCTGTGCCTAGTAAGAGATCGATACGTTTGGATTTAAAAAATAGTTCATCTGCGAGTGAAGTATTCGGCGGGAGGTTCCATGATGATACATCAATTTCTGAGCTTGGCTGGTAAGCAATATGAGGAGTAACGCAGAAGTTGAGATCCAGCTCAAGATTTGAATGACGTGACTTTACGATAGTGGATGTTTGATGCTTTATATTAGCAAATGTGCTGCCTATACTTGCCACATGTACCGGTCGCTTGTATTTGACCAAATTAAGATTTTTTGAGAATTCCTCTGTTATAAAATTAACCTGCGAGCACGAATCGAGTAACGCTCTCCCCACTTGATAACCTCCAACTGAATCTTTCACCAAAACCAGCGCCGTAGCTAAAATTATTTGTTCATTTGAAGACATATCAAGATGAGAGTGACTGATAACATTGTTATTGGGCAACAGAGTTTGCCTTGTGGTATTTAGTGAATCCGAAACCTGGTCATTGCTATTGGATTGGTGCAAGAGTGTGTGATGTGACTTTGCGCATATTCGGCATTTGAATGATGATGTGCAATTGGCCACTCGATGCCGGGGCGATAGACAGTTAATGCAGAGTTTCAAACATTTCGCCTTCTCAAATCTTTGGTTAACTACCATAGTTTTAAAACGAGGGCATTTCTGCACTAAATGTTCATGACTTGAACAAAGTAAGCAGGACTGGGTGGAAGTAGCTGTAGCGAACGAATACTGGTTAGGACGATTGATGGGTTTGGCCTTAATATTGTTGGCTTTACGAGGTACCGATAGATGGTTGTATGGCTTGTGATCGAGAGATTCTAGAAACTGACAATGTCTGTCAAGCAGTGCTGAACAGTCGTTCCAACTAGGTAGAGTGGTGAGAGATAGCGCCTCCTTCCATTTCCTACGTGTAGTTTCATCCACCCTCTGCATTACCAATGAAATGAGTATTGCCTCACATATTTGTTTTTCAGAGCCTAACGTGCAGAGTGAACCGTACAGTGCAGACACATTATCGATTAGGCTGCGAAGTTGGTGGCTAGACTGATCCGAAACCACTGGCAAATCAAATAAAGCTGTAATGTTTTCTAAGAAAATCAGCGTACTGTTGTCATACCGTGTTTTAAGTCGCTCTAAAGCCTTCGGATAATTTTCATTACAAATGGGGAATGCCTGCACTGTTTCTAATGCTTGGCCCGTTAGACAATTTCGTAAATGGTTAAATTTTTCGATGTTGGTTAGACACGCTTCTCGATCAATAATTTGGACGAAAGAATTGATGAAGTTCTTGTATTCGGAGTACTTACCACTGAACGTGGGTAATTTCAAATGTGGCAACTTCTTACTCACAGTAGGTATCAATGCTGTGTTGTCCATCATTGTAGAATTATTAGCTTCATCATTCAGCTGCGAAGATATGGAAATTTTTGTTGAAATATAAAGCTCCTCTAAGTCAGCTCTGCACGTATCGGTAGCATCTAGTTTCTCAATTGATGTCTGAAATGATAAGACCTGTTTAAAGTAAGAATCTAGGATATCTTGCCTACATTTTAATTCCGGCTGTGACAATAATTTTCCAGTCCCCTTTATGTGGGTTTCGATCAACCCTCTAATCCTACTGATACTCGCTTTGGTTGAGGCCCTTTGCTGTTTGAGTTCTGCCAATTCTGACATGGCCGTCTGGCTTGTGTTGGGTGTTGTCATCTCGATTTAATAAATTATTGATGAGTCAAAATAATTACACTCTCCGAAAGTCTAATAGATATTATATCACGACACGATACCGAAATAGTGCACAAATTCGAAAGTCACTAAGCACTTGCGCATAAATAGTTGTGCTACAACGATAATTAATCGGTTGACCGAATGATGCGAACGAAAGCGAAAGTTCTAAGCACATGCACTTAAATAATTGTGCGACAACGATAAATTAATCGGTTGACTGAATGATGCGAACGAAAGCGAAAGTTCTAAGCACATGCACTTAAATAATTGTGCGACAACGATTAATTAATCGGTTGACTGAATGATGCGAACGAAAGCGAAAGTTCTAAGCACATGCACTTAAATAATTGTGCGACAACGATTAATTAATCGGTTGACCGAATGATGCGAACGAAAGCGAAGGTTCTAAGCACATGCACTTAAATAATTGTGCGACAACGATTAATTAATCGGTTGACCGAATGATGCGAACGAAAGCGAAAGTTCTAAGCACATGCACTTAAATAATTGTGCGACAACGATTAATTAATCGGTTGACCGAATGATGCGAACGAAAGCGAAAGTTCTAAGCACATGCACTTAAATAATTGTGCGACAACGATTAATTAATCGGTTGACCGAATGATGCGAACGAAAGCGAAAGTTCTAAGCACATGCACTTAAATAATTGTGCGACAACGATTAATTAATCGGTTGACCGAATGATGCGAACGAAAGCGAAAGTTCTAAGCACATGCACTTAAATAATTGTGCATAGAGTAGCGGTTATTGTCCGCATATTACCGAACCTCGACACTCGAATAACGTTTATTTTACCACGCGGTAACGTTTTATTTACCACGCGGTAACCACGACCATTAATTAACGTTAAGTTTAGAAATTTCGTTTGAAATTAGCAATTTTATTAATTTGCAAATATTATTTTTTAAATAATTTTTTATTATATATTTATAAACAAAATTAGAATTTATTTTTATCATTTAAATTAACACTTTTTGTCTAAAGTTTATCTTTGTTAATTATACACACCTTGAAGTGTTTTATTTTATGTCTGTTATTTGTTGTTTTAAGTAAGAACTTTTCTTATTAGAAAATTTGTTACACGGCACTTAAAGCGTTGATATTTGATTAGTACTTATGACCATTTTTAAAACGTTCGAATATTATTTTCATATTAGTGTCCTGTCACGGTCGCCAATGTTTAATCATAAGCTTTTTTATGATGTTTTGAGTATTAGTCTTTTTCTTTACAATAATTATTACTTATATTTTATCAAATACTAACAATGTCTTTTACGAGGTGATGCTAATTTATTCACTTAAATAAATTGCTTTAAAAAATTAATACAAATTTTGTTCAAATTATTGTAGTTTACGATTTATTTACTTAATTACACACGTAACAATTCATATTATATATATTTTATTTTTTTTTTTAACTATTTATAAAACATTACTGTTTAATTTTAGCGCACAGACTGTCTTTCTTTACACACTTTTCAAAGAGAACAAAAAAGGCTTTTTATATTACAATAGAATTCAAGTTGCAAATTAACATGCGTACGAATAATTGAGTGCGAATGTCAAGAGCTGAAAGCTCAAATGAGTAAAAGAAATGACTCAAAACTGGTATTGATCTTGCTCTACATTATTCGTACACATGTTAAAATGCTTACAAACTCAACTTGCTAGATCTACCAAAGCACCGTGCTCCAACCAATACATATCAAGTTGTACTATATCTTTCTTTTTCTAGGATAGATTTGTAATCAGTTTCCTTTCCAATTTTAAATTGTAAAATTAAAGTAACTTACAGAGGTGTAAAAGGAGTCGGTCTTAGGCAACAGAGGAGGAAATTCGGGAAACCACTGCAAGTGAAGATCTCATCGACAAGTACGATAGGAAATACAACAGGAGCCTGAGCTAAAGAAGATGCACATTTCTTGTTCTTATTTTATTGAATTAAAATCACATTTTAATTGAAATAACTTTATCATACGTTGGAATAATTTTTTTTTGGAATATTGTCTTTCAAAGTAAATAAACTATAAATTTGTTTATAATCACATTGTAATGGAAATAACTTTATCATACGTTGGAATAATTTTTTGGAATATTGTCTTTCAAAGTAAATAAACTATAAATTTATTTATAATCACATTGTAATTGAAATAACTTTATCATACGTTGGAATAATTATTGGAATATTGTCTTTCAAAGTAAATAAACTGTACAATTCAATCTAGTAAACGAACGCTTCCTTTTCTTTCTGTTTTTTTTTAAAACACCTACGTCCTGCGAATATAAATTCATTGTAATGACTCTGGACGACGGCTGAGGATACCCCCAGCAAAAACTAAATATTTTTGAACGTCACCAAAAAGTGTCGTTACAGATGTAATCAAACCAACGGTTCTAAGTCTTGTTTTTATTGCCTTTTGTTTTTTGCGCTCGAGATGAGCAATTTTTTTTGTTATATTTTTTGGCTGCAAGTAAACTCCGTTGGTTTGATTCTGTCTCTTGTTTTTCGATCGCGAACGTGTCAACACACGGGTACACACAAAAAAGTGATTAAACAATCAATAACCGAAATTGTATAAATTCAATTGTATAAATTAAATAAAATCAAATAAAGATCACAAAACCCAATTATAAAAACGCTTATAATCTACAAAGATTATCCATGTTACAGCAGCAATATACTTTGAAATTGATGCCGACTTCAGCCTTTTTCAAAAAGTGTACGCCAACTTAGTTAAACAAAGTAATAAAAATCGAATTTTAAGAACTACTAAGATTCTAGAAGACATTACCGTATACGACAGGTTCACAGAAATTGTATTAAATATTTATTTAAAAGGGCTGCATCAGGGTATTGAAAAAGTACAAGCAGAGTTCAGGGAAAAATACTATTACCTTAAATACTTAGAAGAAATTTCTGCCATAATAAACAATTGTGAATTATGCAATGAATGCAAATTCGACGATATACCTACCAGAATGCCTTATAAAGTCACCCCTCCAACTTATTCCATACGTGAAAAATATGTTGTAGAGATATGGCATTAGGACAATATTTCCTACGTTACTTGTATAGATGTTTTTTTCCAAATATGCCATGGTAGAAAAAATAGAACATGGGAAATGGATAAAAAAAATTTTTACTGAAAATATTTAACACCATTGGTCCTCCAAAAATCATTAAGAAATTTTAGAAACGGCAGAAAGCATCGAAATACACAAACATCATACCACAACTTTACTCAACGGCGACAAAGGCAACGTGTCATCGTGCCTTTTTAGATACATCCCAAAAAACCGACAACCAGTCAACCTAACTACCTGTATGTAAAAATAAAAAAAAAACAACGCCAGACCAACCCCGTCACCATTTCTTACCTGTCACCCTCAAGGACAATAACCTTAGGATTTATTAATATTAAGTTTAGTATTAAAAATAACATGTTTATGGTATAAATAGTTTGTAAGATTGCTAGATGTTTTAATATTAGGAATTCTCCTGATGAAGGCAAAAGCGAATTTGCCGAAACACGTGTAGAGATACACAAAAAAACTTTCGAAATAAAAGTTAGTATATTTTAAAAAACAAAAATAACCGCATTTTATAATTTATAGTTTAATGTAAATACATTAAATGAATTTTATTTAATTCATTGATGAATAAATAACTTATATATTATAATTTATAAATAATTTATAGTTTAATGTAAATACATTACTTATATATAAACTAATGGAAAAATTTTATATTTATATTATATTCACGAGGACGTGAACGTTTTAAAGGTGGGAGGAGTAACATAATCGAATTAATCCGCCACTGCCTTTCTTTAGTAATTGTAAACTGTTTCTATAAATTTGGAGAAACGGTTTAATGGCATGACCAACTCATCGCCTTTAAATTGTTGCTATTTGTTTACTCTAAATTTATAGAAACGGTAAAGTAGCATGTTTTCTAAACTAATGCATTTTTTGTATAATGAAAATAAAAAAGATTATTATTTCAACAATCAAGTTGTAAAATCGTATTTAATTTAAAATACATTACTTGTGTGAAGACATCATTGTTTTAGGTTATATTTTGCATTCGTTTATATAACATGTACTGTATTGCTTGTATTTATGTAAACTTGCCATTTGTCGAACTATTCAGGCGTTGCGATTAAGAAATTCTGCAAGGCGTTAGTGAATTGTTAATATTTTTATTAGCTTTGTAGCTTTTTTTTCACTCCAGAAGGAACTGTTACTTTATTTACGTGTTTTAAGTATTCACATGTTCGAACGATATGCTCAAGTTGATTATGTCGTAGGTCAAACGCGTAGCCATCACAATACTCCGCCTCGAGAGAAGCTAAAGTGCGAAACGAAGTCTTGCTGGAACGGAGTTGTATAGCTTCCAAGGCACTATCACTTGAGTATGCATGCTCGTTTCAATCCATCTGTAGATATAAACCTCTCTTTCCCGTCAATTAATATCTTAAATATCTTTTTTGCTCTTTCTAATACATTCTTTATACTAAAAAAGAAAAATGTGGTTTAGGATTGTAAAATTGTTGTTCTACTGGTAATTTAACAATTTATTTTAAAAAAATACTATAAATAAATTGAGGTGTCTGTACAATCGAAATAACAGTCTAATGTGGATCTCAGAGAATTATTTGCACGTCGTGAAAATATCAGTATAATGAAATATTTTTTTTTTTTTTTAAAACATACATTTATTTATTGCATTTTCTCTTAAAATGAGACTAACAATAAGTTTTAAAATCTTATAACTAATTACATAATGTTACAAATTTTTATTTTAATTATACATTGTATAAAATAAAATAAAATAAAATAAGTAAACCTTATATCACGAACCTCACTTAGATTAATGGGTTAAATTTCATTAGAGTGAATGTTAGGTGGTTTCTTAAGAAAGTGGTTCAACTTTAACAGCTTACTAAAAAGAAAGG